ACATCATACTCAATGGTGAAAGGTTGAAAGCTTTTCCTCTAAGATCAGAAACAAGACAAGACGACTCTTACCATTCTTATGCAACATAGTACTGGAAGTCCTAGCCGGGTCAGTCAGGCAAGAAAAAGAAATAAAAGGCATCAAAATTGTAAAGAGAAAAGTAAAATTGTCCCTATTTGCAGGTGACATGATTTTATATATAGAAAATTCTAAAGACTCAACCAAAAAGTCAAATTAATGAATTAAGTAAAGTTGCAGGATACAAACATATAACATATAAAAATCAGTAGTGTTTCTATACAATAACAACAAATCTTCTGGAAAAGAAATAAAGAAATTGATCTCACAACAGCATCAAAACCAATAAAATACTTGGGAACAAATTTAGCTAAGAAGGCGAAGGATTTCTACTCTGACAACTACAAGACACTGATGAAAGAAATTAAAGACATCAATAAATGGAAAGGTGTTCTGTGTTCATGGATTGGAAGAATTAACATTGTTAAAATGTCAATACTATCAAAAGCTGCCTGTAGCTTCAATGCAATCTCCATCAAGATTCCAATGACATTTTTTATAGAAGTAGAAAAAACACTCCTAAAATTTATATGGAACCACAAAAGATCCTAAATAGCCAAAGAAATCCTGAGAAAGAAGAACAAAGCAAGAGCCATCACACTTCCTGATTTCAAGCTATACTATAAAGCTATAGTCATCAAAATAGTGTGGTACTGACATAATAACAGAAAATTAGACAATGGAACAGAATCAAGAGCCCAGGAATAAACCTAATCATATACAGTCAACTAATATTTGACAAGGGAATCAAGAATACTCCATCGTTGGTGCTGGGACCATTGGATATTCACATGTAAAAGAATGAAACAGGACCTATACTTTACACCACTCACAAAAAGTAACTCAAAATGGATTAAAAACTTTAATTAAAAACTTTTAAAACTTTAACTTTAATTAAAGTTTTTAATTCAAGATTCTCACAGACGTGGATCTTGGCAATGATTTTTTGGATATGCCACACCTAAAGCACAAGCAACAAAATAAAAAATAAACAGGTGGGACTACATTAAACTAAAAAGCTTCTTCACAGGAAAAGAAATCATCAACAAAGTGAAAAGACAACTTACAGAATGGGAAGAACATATTTGCAAATAACATATCTGATAAGGGGATAATATTCAAAATATATAAAGCACTCATATAACTCAATAGCAAAAAATAAATAAAATAACCCAATTAAAAAATGGGCAAAGCACCTGAACATTTCTTCAAGAAGATATATGAAAGACCAACAGGTACATGGAAAGATGTTCAACATTGCTAATTGTTAAAGAAATGCAAATTAAAACCACAGTGTGGTATCACCTCACACCTGTTAGAACTGCCATCATCAGAAAGACAGGAGATGCTGGCGAGAATATAGAGAAAAGGGAACTTTCACACACTGTCCGTGGGTATGTAGATTGGTGCAGCCACTATGGAAAACAGTATGGGGGCTTCTCAAAAAATTAAAAACAGAACTACCATTTGGTCTAGCAATTCCACTTCTGGGTATTTATACAAAGAAAATGAAAATACTAACTTAAAAAGATATCTGGGGGGCTTCCCTGGTGGCGCAGTGGTTAAGAATCCGCCTGCCAATGCAGGGTACACGGGTTCGATCCCTGGTCCGGGAAGATCTCACATGCCGCGGAGCAACTAAGCCCATGTGCCAAAACTACTGAAGCCCGCGCGCCTAAAGCCCGTGCTCTGCAACAAGAGAAGCCACCACAATGAGCCATCCACACGCACCGAAACGAAGAGTAGCCCCCCTTCGCCGCAACTAGAGAAAGCCCGTACAGCTAGGAAGACCCAACGCAGCCAAAAAATTAATTATTAGCTAATTAATTAATTAATTAAAATAAAGATAAAATGATACCTGCACCCCCCCAGGCACATAGCAGCGTTATGTACAATAGCCAAGACATGGAAACAACATAAGTGTTTATCAACAGATGAATGAATAAAGTTGTGGTATATATATATATATATATATATATATATACACACACACACACAACATAATATTATTCCGTTTTTTATTATTGTAAAAAATGAGGAAATCCTGTGCTTTGTGACCACATGGATGGACCTTGAGGGCATTATACTAAGTGAAGTTAAGTCAGACAGAGAAAGAGAAATACTGTATGAGCTCACTTATATTGGGAATCTTTTTAAAACATTTAAAAACAAACTCATAGACAAAGAGATCAAACTTATGGTTACCAGAGGTAGAGGGAGGAGGGAGGGGGGGTTGGAGGAAGGTGGTCTAAAGGTACAAACGTCCATTTATAAGATAAATAAGTACTAGTTACATAGTGTATGACATGATGACTATAGTTGGCACTTCTCTTTAATATGAAGGAATGTTATTAAGGGAGTAAATCCTAAGAGTTCTCATCACAAGGAAACTTTTTCTCCTTTTTTCTTTTCTCTTTTCTTTTCTTTTTATTGGATCTCTAAGAGAAGATGGATGTTAGCCGAACCCCACAATACTGCGCAGGTAAATCAAACCATACGCCTTAAGCATATACAGTGATGTATGTCAATTATCTCTCAATAAAACTGGAGGGGAGAAAAGAAACATTTTGTCTTGCTAGAGAGTGAGGTCGACTGAGAACCACTTGTTCATCTAAGATATCCCTCTTAAAATAAAGGGGAGGGCTTCCCTGGTGGCGCAGTGCTTGAGAGTCCGCCTGCCGTTGCAGGAGACGCGGGTTCGTGCCCCGTTTCGGGAAGATCCCACATGCCGCGGAGCGGCTGGGCCCGTGAGCCATGGCCGCTGGGCCTGCGCGTCCGGAGCCTGTGCTCCGCAAATGGGAGAGGCCACAACAGTGAGAGGCCCGCATAACGCAAGAAAAAAAAAAAAAATAAAGGGGAAAAACAGAGAGGGAGGCTGAAACACCAAACATGATTAAAGCGATTATTTTAGTGACTGATTCCTGACTAGAAGAAAGACAGTTAGAGGGACGGGGCAGGGGTGGAAGAGACCAGAAGCAGACCCCCGACGTTCCTTTGCACAAGCTCAGAGCTCCTCAGGAGATACTGGTTGACCGTGGAAAGGGCTGGGTCAGCGGCTACTGGGAGCTGCACACTGGAACCAGTTAGAAAATCCAGAAGATCGTCCGGTAACTTTGAACAGTGAGTAGCAGGAGAAAACCTCAGGAAGGTCTTCTGATATCAAAATGTAAGTCATCTGTGGGTAAAGACAGGTCAAAATTGAAGTAAGCTGGAGTGCCGCTGAAAAACAAAAAGGAACTCAGATAACTGATAACAAGACTGGTGAGAGAAGTGCATATGCTATGCTAAGTATGACATTTCTTTAAATATTGTCCCCACTGATAATTTCACTGAAAGTTAACGTCATCTTAGCTGATTTACATTCACTGGTGATTTCTATGTGCCAGGGCTGTTCCAAGGGCTTTCCCAACGGTTAGCTTCTTAAAATTTTGCAGCCCTCCTTTTTCAAGAGGAGACTGAGGTTTGGAAAGTCACGCGATCCACCTGCGATGGTCCAGCTAAGAAGTTACAGGATTACGGTTAGAACTTCCAGATCTCATTCGTGTCCAGGGTTATCATCCCCTTTCCTAGACTGTGCTGCTCACGTGTCCCTGTAAGTGTGAAAATACATGTTTAGTTAATCCCCCAAACTCTTATTTTCCCCCAAAATGTAATTTTCATAGGAATAAGTGAAGCTGCAAAGGGCAAGAAGTTTATCATGCTATTCAAATGGTAAAGGTTTGCTTCCCTGAGCTGTGTCACCAGCCCGTGTGACATTTACCTACACTGTAAGGTTTGCCTTATTGATCCCAACTAGATGAAAATAACTGATTTCACAGAACCTTGGAAACAATCTCCAAACTCCAAATTTTACCAACAATGGAATAAAGCAACTGAACTAACAATTGGAAACACAAATGCTTTCGCTTGCTTATTGGCTGTGAGATGTGGGGTATGTCTAAACTCTAGACTGGTCCTGTCCAATATGATAGCCACTGGCCAAAGGTAGCTATTTAAATTTAAAATTTAATCAATTAAAATTAAGTGCAATTACGCATTCAGTTCCTCAGTTGCACTAGCCGCGTTTCAAGTGCTCAGAAGCCACGTGTAACTAGTGGCTACTGTATTGGGTAGTGCAGAAAGTTCTCTTGGACAGCACTGCTCTAAACCTGAAATCCGAAACCTCCAAAGTCTTCTGAAGCTCTTTCCTGTCTGATAATGGGTCTAAATTCTAATGATAAGTATCACAGCACTGTCGTAGGACAGCATGTAAAAGTGCTTTGCAAATTATAAAGTGTTATATAATTTTTTTAAATTATTGCAGTGTTGTAAAATCATAGCCTTTGACGTACTAATACTTTGGCCCTTGGATCTTCTAATCATGTTAACTCTTTTTCAGAATTTGAACTATAGATCTTGAAACTGACATTTATACTTTGTTCTTTAAGACTGAAGTGCATTCCAAGTTCTGCACCACTGACAACTTCTCTTAATGAGGAAGGTACCATTTATATGTATGTATGTGTGTGTGTGTGTGTGTGTATCTATAAAGATATACACGTAATACTATGTAATATATATAATTATATAATATACGCGATCATATATATAATATGAAAATCACCACTTTCCTCTAAGGACTATATCTATCAGAAATTAGTAGAAGAATGTTCCAGTCCATATGAGCTGATAAGAGTCCTAATTTTTGCCCAGTTAGAAAGTGATAACTGTGGGTTCCAGAGAAGGTGAATGAGTAACAGCCCCGGGTGCTTCAGTGACTGTCAAGTTCATTAACGCTCAGCAGCCTTAGTGACTGATACACGTCTAACTCAGACTCCAAGACAGAATGTGACTTCTAGGTACTGACTGCTTTTGCTGAACCCTGATTGGTTTCTTTTAGGGAACTACAAATCTCCTGGTGCTTGAAGCTTTTAGGCAGCACGATGGAAAGAAGCCTGAAGAATGTCCTGGTGCTTTCCTTTGGATTTCTGCTTCTCTTTACTGCCTACGGAGGTCTGCAGAGTCTGCAGGTAGGTGTGTACAGTCGTCATGTGATCTTACCTTCTGAATGTCTCTGGGGCTCCAAGAATTCCCGTGGCACAGACAGCAAGGAACGTGGGGTTTCACCCTCCAAAATCCTCTAAAACAAACAGCAGTTTTTATGTGCAGCCCCAACTCCCAGTTCAGCGGGATGGCACAACTGCGGGTGTTTGACCCTCGGACAACGAGAGCTGGTCATGGGTTAGTGATAAAATCCGCTTTGCCTTTGCGTGGGTAAAAGGAGACACAAGACGAATCACTGTGAATTTGTGGTCAGGGGCAGTAATGAGAATTCATCAGAGCTCCTGATACCGCGTAGATTCCTGCTAGATCTTCCCCCGGGTAGTTCCATTTTAAGTCTGATCTTTAACTGTGAATGAAACCCCAAGGAAGCCCCAGGGCTGGTCAGGAGGAAGCAGGCTGTCATCACGCCCTCGTGCTTTCTTCACCAGCTTCGAGCTCTGCGGCCTGGGGGCTGCCACACAGTGACGTATCTGCAAGGTTTCTGATGACAAGTTAGTGTGGTCCTGGAAGGTCTGTCAGTCAGCGACAAGAAGTAGGCGCCTACTGTGTGCACAGAGCTGAACAAGAAAAGCACGTGCAGGGGGCTCAGAATTGGAGGTGCAGGACAAGAGAGGAGAGATTCAAATTTTCTGTCTTCATTGTTACAGTACAAACCCTTTGGACCTGTAGGTTGGACCTGGTGGCTCAGATTCAGCCCTGAATTCCAAGTACATGTTTTCCTCCGTGAAAACATTCAGTCTTTTTTCTGATTAGGGTCACAGAGAATGAAATTTTAGCCCATGGTGATTCCCAGAATGAAGCTGAAGGGGAAGAACAGTCCTCTTTCTTGCCAGGATACTCCATGACTTTGTAGACATTGCTCAGAACGTTGTGATGTTGTAAAATGCTGATGTGTGTGAAACACCTGTTGTGTCATGCTGCCTTGAGCTCACGCTGAATGTAGTGTGTGCTTTCTGGAAGGAGAACATAGCGAGACCATGGACCCATCGGTGACACTGTCCCTACAGAAGCTTGCCCCACCGGAGGAAGTCCCACTGTCGGCAGGTGGGGCAGATCCCCTGAGTTCGGGCGTGACTGACGGGGTCTGAGTTCTCAGGAAGCAGGTGTGATCTGACAGCTGCAGCTGAATGACGGCAAACTGGCCCCCTTGGAAGCCGGGGGAGGGAGTGGGGGGACCCTAGGAGCTGCCAGGTGTCCCTTCTCTCAGGCAATGACTGTGGGACACTGAGGCCACACACAACGTGGAAGCCTCACTCAGGAAACTCTCGGAGTGGCGTCTGTGTGGAGAGAGCAGTGCAGCTGCGGGGAAGCCACATTGGCCTCCACGTTCCCCAGGGCTCCTGGGCTGGGCACTGCTGTCACTGGTGTGGCCTCTTCCTCTCCAGAAGACCGGAGACGTTAGAGAACCAGCCCTCCCACCCTACCGTGGAACTATCCCACCCACCACTCACCGCTGCTCCAGTCCCCGCCCTTATCTGGCCCTATTTCCTCGCCCACTGCTCCAGTACATGTCAACATGTTTTAACTGTCAGTCAGGACTGGCTTCGGGAACAGCAGGTAAGGACAGGGATGGATGTGGCCCTAGGGATGGCTGGATCCCAGCCACGTTGAAGGGACCTGCCAGTCTCCATCACTTCCTCCTGCTTTCATCTGCTTGGCTTCTTTCTCAGGCCCCAGCGAGGCAGCAAAGGTGGCCATAGGCATCCCCAGAGTGCCAGCCCCGGTCTGGATTCGGTCGTGCACTTGCCCAGGACGCAGACACGCATCTACACTGCCTTCCCCACAGCAGACGGTCTCTTATTTATTATTCAGATCTCAATGTGCACATCACACTTCCTTCTCCCCCTTCCCTGTGCCCTGGGTCACTCGTCTGGCTGAGGCACCCCTGTGTGCACGCCAGGTCCTGTGGCGCACACCACACTGTGCCTGTGAGCTCCATGAGGCCAGGCCCTCACCACCCCGTCCATCACTGTATCCCCTGCCTCAGATAGCACTCAGCACTGGATCCAATGGATCCAATCCATTCCCTAGTATGGTGTCTGGGGCTCCTATTGGTCTAGTCTGGCTGGCTGTCCAGCCTCACCTCACCAGAAGAGCTCAACAGCTGTGGCCAAAGCAGCTGAATTCTCCTTGGGGTCCTTTCTCTCAGGATGGGGCCTCTGTAAACACATCCCCTAAACGTCCCTCCTCACCCATACCTCCCGACCTTTCCCTGGTCACCTCCGCACCCTGCAGGTTTCGCGAGGCCTTCACTCCTTCCAGAAAGTCTTCTGACGCCTCTGGACTGGACTTCGTGCCCCTCCAGGAGCTTGGCCCCTGAGCTTCCCCTTGCAGGACTCACTGTCCCACTGCAAGTGGCCTGCTGGAGGCGTCACCGGCCCTGGCAGTCCTGTCCATCACCCGCTCCTGGGTGGTGGCTGGTGGCTGTTGTCTTTCCCTTTTGTATCCCAGGAGCCACAAGTAAGCCTCTGTTGGTCAGTGCTTACAGCCGATCAGTCGATCGACTTGCTGAGTGAGTTGAGTGACCGTCCTCGTTGTTTACATACAGGTCACTCCCATGGGCTTCTCCTTGGGCATGGATTTTGCAGGTTGGCTCTCCTAACACATGGAGAGACAGGTATTTGAACATGGTCATTCACTTAAAAAAAAAAGACATTTGGTTTCGAAATTTGGTTCCCACTTTGGAGATTGAAATCCGCCTTCCTTTCCAGCGGTGGACAGCGGAACTCCATTATAAATAACAAACGTACCTCGCTGCCGACTGGCAGCAGGGCTGTGGGTGGAAAGGAAATTCCAGAGCAGAGCAGAGCAGTGCTGCCAGCCTCTCATTAGCACACAAAGAGGCAAGCTCACTAATACATGAGACCCTAATACATAAGTATTAAGCCAACAAAGGGCCCCGGCTGAGCCAGTTTCCACATTCCACACTCCTAGCAACTGGAGTTAGGAGCAGAAATTTCCAGACAACCCCACTTCAGGCGGACTCTTCAACTTTTGTCTTCCAACCAGACTTCAGAATTTTCACGGGACCAGATGTTCTTGTGTTCAGTTTCAATTAATCAACAAACATGACTAAGTACCTGTTCGGGGCAAGGCACTGGGAGAGATTCAGAAAAAGCAGAACATTCCCTGTGCTCAAGACCCTTGGAGACCCTTGGCACACACTTGAAGAAAGGGCACCATCTGGAAAGAGGATGAAGGCGGTCAGAGTGTGTTGAGGGGTGGAAAGGGAGAGGAAATCCTGGGGTGAGAATACAGCCTATGGGGTTTGGAGTCTCCAGAACAGGAAAGGGATGGTCGGGGACGGCCTCAGAGAGGCCCCCGGCTGATGGGTGGGATCTTCTGTCGACTTCCTGGGGGACCAGGCAGGAAGGAATGGTAATAGTCCTGGCGTTAAAGTCCTGGCTTTGGGGTCATCTGGACTCGTTAGCTGAGTGTAGGATCCTACGCCGTGTGTTTCTTTCCCGCGTGGAGGTAGCAACACCTGTCTCAGCCGCAAAGGAGAAGGAACATAGAAGCTCTTATTCTGGTGTTTGCACTTTGTCGACTCTCTAACGGTGGTGGTTTTCTGAGTTTGGGGCTCTGGCTTCTGCAAGGGAAGAGACCCTGTGTGCGAATTTTTCTTCTCTGGTGTCTGGTCAGTTGTGTGGGGCACAGCGGGGACCCCCTGCACAGTGACCACAGGGTCGGGCTGAGCTGGATGTGGAAGCGAAGGAAACACACGGACAGACCCTTGTGAAGCAAGGTCTGGCTGCGAATAGAAGCACTAGTCTTCTTCCCCGCCCCCTCCCCCTCCC